CTCTATGTTGTCTATTTTTCAGCATGTGGATATATTTGGAAGTGAAGATTCTTTCATGATATAAATAGTCTAACTCAATGGAACTTATTGTCCAAACTACTGTGGAACTTGGAAATGAGACTGATATTGTGCTTGTTTACCAGTGGCACAAATTGATAGATGCCAATTGAGCGGCAGCTCTTCATGTGGTTCGGCTAGTCGAGCAGTGCAATTTTTTGTTTTATTTTACTTTTTCAATATACTTTTGTGCAGCCTAGGCCCGGTTTGAGGTCATCTAGGCCATTGAAACAGTTTATTGTTGCACGTAGGACCATTTAAAAGGATATTGTCACAAATCTATAGTGACACAGTTAACGGTTGGGTAGGTGGACTCGTCATACTTTTTTGAAAAAAATTTATATTTATGTTGTGGCATGTCATAGTTTTGTTTATGTTAGTTTCTAAATATGACATGTAAACATGGAAGTATGCATATCTATTGAAAAAAATTTAATTGTTAGAAATTAGACATACATGCCTACACTAGGTGTTGCTATATACTTTGTTTTTCACAAAATTATTCTTGACAATTTAATGGTCAGATAGATCGACTCGAAATGAATAGTTGCGCTGATATTATCTTTACGAACCGTAGATAGTAATTCTGTAAAACATGATGAATATTGAATGCTTGTGATCTGTTCATGATTTATTTTTGCTATCCGGAAATATTCTGTCCAACTGGAAATCTTCATTGTTCGGACCATTTTTTGCTATCTATTTTCTTAGTACCAAAGTCATTTCTTTACAAATAATTTTTTAATAAAACGTATAGGTCGCAGAGTTCATATTTATTTGTCTGTGAATGAGGAGAAAGATCAAAGGCATACTTATTGACAATGAGAAAAGGTACAGCTTTATTTAATTGTTTGAGAATTGAGAATGAGGAAAAATATCAGAGACATGCTTATCTTTAATAATGCGAAAATGTACAGATTTTTTTACATTCAGTATATAAAAAAATGAAAGGTTTTGTCTAAATTTTCAAATACTTAAAAAGATTATTGTATTATTTTCTATGGCACATATTATAAAACAGGTGTGATATATATTATAAAATAACTATAACTGAATATTATTAGTAGATTGACAAATATAATAAATAATAATTGTGGGGGAGGAGAATGTGTAAAGTAAAGATAATATATCAAAATCTATATACATAGGTCTTGTTTGGCTATTAGTGAATAACTGACTTGTCCCATCAATGAAACTTGTTTTTCACTACCATCTGGCAAGTGAATTATGGCTGGTTTGTTCAACGAAACCGCATTACTCATTAAACTCATATTCGTGCACATATGTTTGCTAGCTCCTGTATCAATGACCCAAGTTCTTTCATCTATGTAATGCATAATGTGACATTTCATCGTTTTCATCTTCTGCAAAATTGACATAGTGTTCTTCTTCTTTGCTCTGTTTCCCCAAAACCTTTGTCCCTTTGTAGAGATGTTAAATTGTCCTTAGTCCGACGGGCCGGCCCATTTAGCCCGGAAAAAAACAGGGTTAGGGCTTTTTATTATCAGCCCGTTTAAATCTGGGATTTTTGCCCAAGACCGTTTAGCCCGAAGCCCGCTAGGGCTAACCCGAAAACCGCTAAGGCTAGCCCGTTTAACTTTGGTTGGGTGGTGTATATGTATTTAGAAAGGTAAGGAATATGTCTCATGATTTCTTGTATATTACAATTTTGTTATTCTACTTCACATGTAATGATGAGTTATAATATATTATCATTATTTTGATAGATAATTATTAACAAATTTTATTCTATTTCACAGCAAAATATTTACGGCTAATAAAAAATAAATGAGACAAAGACCTAACACATAGAATATATTGATAGAATATAAATTCAGTAGTATGCTATATTGTCAAAATTCCCGAAGCGTACCAAATAACTAGACAAATGGTAGTATAAGTAATAGTTCGAACATTTATTTTTTTCTATTAAGAAACAATATGTTATTTAAGAGTTTGTAATGTGTTCATATATAAAGTGTAGTTGTATATATATAGTGGTAAATAATAAATAGCCGTTCAAAAAACCGTTAAATAGGTGTTGTAATTTATTATTATTATTATTATTATTATTATATTATTATTATTATTATTATTATTATTATTATTATTATTATTATTATTATTATTATAGCCCGTATAGCCCGATTAGCTCGAAGCTCGCTAGGTTTAGGGTTAGATCCTTTTATTGATAGTCCGTTTAAATCTGGGCTTTTTAGGCCCGGACTGTCTAGCCCGAAGCCCGCTAAGACTAGCCCGTTTAACATCTCTATCACTTGGTGTGCTAGAACTTAGTGTCAGTGACAGACCCTATAATCTTTCCATGTGATGAATGTTGAAAATCACTATCCTCAACTATGTTAGCTACATTTTTTCCTTTCTTCTCTCTCATCTCGTCAAACCAATTAGGGGAACCATGCAATTTAAAACATGTAGACTTCTCATACCCATTCCACCGACAATTCTCACCAATCAACTTAGATTTCTCTTTCTTCCTCAATCTATATCCACTTCCTTCACTTATTTCCCGCTCCTTGTCCACCCTATAACCTCATATTGCCACCTTTTTTATACCACATGTTCTTAATGCCATAGCCATATTAGAACCAAGATCTGACTAATTGGATTGATCTTTGACTCTCAACTGACAAGATCATAGAGTATGCCCTGTTTACAGTGGAAAGAGGATTCATCAACAACATCAGGTTCATAATATGATAATAACTATCAGTCAATCCCATTAAAAACTTCACTTGTTTTGCATGTTTTGTTACTCCATTTTCCTCCCAACCTTAAACCAACTGCGGTACCAAGCATCCATATCCATCCCACATTTTCTTCAGTTTATTAAAATACATCATCACAGTATCATTTCCTTGTTTCAAATTCGGAATATCCCTCTGTAATTGATAGATGAAGGTCCATTACTCTCCTCAAATCTTTGGCAGAATTTCTCCCATAGATCTTTTGCAGGTTCAGAATAGATAAATGCATCAACAATATCCTTCGAAAGCAAATTCGAAAACAAAGAAATTACCATTCAATCTTTTTTTTCATTTCTCGTAATATGAATTGCGTATGTTCGTTGCCTTCACAGATCCATCGATAAATCGTAATTTCGTCTTGGCACCAAGAACAATCATCATCGATCTATTCCAGGCCAGAAAATTGGATCTTGTCAATGGATGCGACACCAGCTGCATTTCAGGATGATCTGATCCATGGAGGAATAATGGATTGTCTTTTCAAGCATCAGCAACCATGTTTCCTCTCGCATTCAACAACGGCCAAGCTTCATTGTGTTGCCTCTTGGGAGATTTCAGGACATTCTAATGACTTTAGATACCATGCAGAAAATCACCAAAAATATCTGAGTATCCAACTGAATTTTCATTAATTGAAAATTGAAAAACAACAGCCAAATCGGGCCCTTATCTATGTCGTCTAATTTGAATCAATCTGTTTGAAGCAAAAAGACAGCGTTTTTCCATTCAAAATAAAACGCCCTACTAAAAGAAATGAAAGGAAAAAAAAAAAAACAAACAAACACGTTTTTTTCTTAAACAAAATAAGAAAAGAAAAGTAAAGAATCGAGATGTTGCATGAGAGTCATAAGAGTGAGTTGCTGCATGTGATCTGCATGACCATACTTCAACAACTTCTAACCAACGACTCAAATTTAGATTATCCTAGACAAATTTTATGTGTTGTTCATTGCCTTTTCGTTTAAATTTTTAAATTTTTGGATACTTTAGTGTATACGATCAATTGAATTAGCTTGCTTAGCCACCTATTGGGTGATGGTGTAAGGAACTTGACACGATAGCATCTCTTAGGAAGTCCCCTCATAGCCAAAATATATTTCCAAGAAAAGTCTTCTCTGATGAGGATATTTAGGAAAAATGAACAATGGAGTAAGTGGAAGTTTCATCCTTTTCCTCAAAAGGACAATAATTAAACAGATCAGATTTTGAAAGGAAAGCTTTTGTTATTTGTCATTTTTGTATGAAGTGTTAGATGATGATAAATGCATCATGGTACCTTATATTATCTCTTGATGCCTTTGGACTAAATGAACCCAAACAATGGCAGAAAAATTTATTACTTTGATGCAACACATTAGCACAGACCCATGAATTGAACAAGAGATATTGGGATCAAATGTGTTACTCAGCGTCATGTGCTTCTCTTATAATAACATCATGGAGTTCCTCTTCTTTTTCCCCTTAGAGAAAGATTGAGAAAATTAATTTAAGTTCCGTTTGGATTGAAGGATTTACTGAGAAATTTGAAATCCATGAATTTCAAATTTACAAGTTGAAATCTTGATGCATGTTGGAATGATAATGAAAGTTGGAGGATTTCAAATTCATGCTCGATGTTTTTTAGTCATTATTTTGAAGGATTTTGAATGACTCCTCAAACCTAGTCATTTGAAATTTACTGTTTGACGACCACGCCATCCGCGATCATTTAAGTTAATCACCACCGTGAGTCAACACCATCAGTGCGAACTAGACAACTGATTTATAATATTTTCAACCAATCCATTCAAGGAGTGTGCAAGTAAAAAAAATTATATTTCAAAAATTTTAAAATCAAAGGATTTCAAATCCCTCGAAACAAACGGAGACTAAGAGAAAATCAAATGAACTCTTAGCAGTGCTACAAAAATTACTATAAGAATCATCTTACAAAAAGAGTGACTGAAAGATTAGCTTCCTTTGAACTGGTAAAACATCCAGATGGTAAGAATTTCCACTTAGACAGAATCCCTAAACCTACAATTCTGCAACTTATTTACATTATCATATTTGCATGCTTGCAAAATACGGGCACCAACACTACAGCCTTAGGAAAATGCTCCACCACATATTAGGGGACGCAACCAGAAGTTACGCCACCACAAGCTATTTTCTGCATAGACGCAAGAAAAGAAAAGGTATCAGAGGCAAAACTTATTAGCAACAACCAGAAACAAGAAACAGAAAAAGATCATATTCTAAAGGGGGGAGGGAGCCTTGCAACATTTCAAACAAACATCTCAAGGCAGTCATGGCCCATTTTACCTTTGATTTCTTGAGAAAGAGTTACTCCTACAAATGAGCATTAATCTTGGTGTGATTGGGTAAGAGATGAAAAGAATAATGATAAGATGCAGTCATATTCATATATTACTAGAGAGAAAGAAGTCTATAAATAAACAAAGTAAAATTTTTCCGACAAATATTATTACTTTATTTGGAAATTTTGAGTTTCCTATTAAAAATATCTTTAGAAAAAAATCAAACATTCTATAAAGGGATACCTAAATTCAAATATACTATGAGTATGTCAAAATTACATATATCAATTATAAATTTGAATTACCATAAATTAATTATAAATTATAAAATAATATGAAACAAGTATTATGCTTAATGAAAAGCCAAAGTTTGTAAATAGTGTAAAATGCATTGGGCTCATACTGATTTGATCTATATTTTAATTTAAAAACTTTTTTTTTTAAATTTAATATCTGTTTAGATTTTCATCACATTATTAGGCAAACTATATATGGTTAATAAAGACATCCAGTAAATGTACATCTATATCCATGTATTATTAGAAAAAAATGTCCATTAATTAACTAAAGAAACTTTACAATCCTTTTTATTACTAAATAATGAATATTTTGATCATATATATAATTCAATAATTTAATACTAATTGGTCATTTTATTAACTTTTTACATATAAAATAATAAGTTAATCATCTTTGTATAATTTTCTTTTATTTAACACTCATAATGGGCATATAAAACTAAAAATTATTTTTTATATTTATATAAAAATAACTTTTTTCAATAACTTAAGTTATTGTATATCTTAGATCAACATGATATGAATGGATTCTTCCATTCTAATAATGTATCATTTTTATTGAATATACCATATCAACATTTTTATTGAATGACGTCTCTTAATTTTTGTACCTTGGGTCGCTACGGAAACAGCCTCCTTGTATAATTACAAGGGTAAGGTTTGCGTACAACTGACCCCCCAGACCCCAACCTGTTGGGAATATACTGGGTATGTTGTTGTTTTTGTTGACGTCCCTTAATTTTTAATTAAATTCTTTCAAAATTAAAAGAAAAAAAAAATATAAATATCACGTTTGTTTTTGGCTTTGGCTGAATGCATTTTTTAAAGTTCCAAAAAAAATCAAATTCTTAAAAATGTAAACTAAAAGAAACATTTCTGCTAAAAATAAAATGTTAACATATAACAGTATTGATATGAAATTAATTTCTTAAATATAGAAATATACAATTTTGTTGTAAATCATGTTTATTAAGTCCTGTGTCACAATAATAGGTTGGTTTTACTGGTGACTAAAGGTTTCGACCATAATCAATACAATAATTTCAAAATTAACCAATAAATAAAGAGAAAATATTTTTATATAGAGAGGATCAGTTGGACAAATATATAATGTCAGGGTACAATTTAAAATTCTCATAATAAACAATAACAACAACAACAACATAGCCTTTCTCATAATAAACAATAATTTATTTTTTATTTTTTATTTATATTTTTTAATTTAAATATTATTTAATGTTTAATATAATCAAATTGACGTCGCTTGTGCACGGGTAAAAAGAGTACTAATTCTTTGTAAACTAAAGAGCAGAGCAGCATGATGCGATTTCTTTCTTTCTTTTCTTCCTTCTTCAGTAAACTTCCATTTTATGCGATTCATTGCTAAAAGTGAGACCACATTACGTAATCTACTAATTTATAGGCACTCAAGTTTTAAGGATCAAGATTTACCTGGCAGCATCACCACACACGGAGTGTCTGGAAATTCAACGCCTTCTGGGCAGCATCTGCAAAGCACTGAGCGGCTTCAGCCTCGGCCTCAGCCTCCTCTGCCTCCTTTGCCGCTGCCTCAGCCTCCGCTATTGCAGCTTCAGCTTCCGCAACAGCTTTGGCGGCAGCCTCGGTAGCTTCATCAGCACTCATGCTCTTCATTTTCTCCAGCTCAGCATCGATCATGGCTTTGGTAAGTATCACGATATCGTTCTTGGCTGCTTTTGGGGAATCCTTTGCAGCTCCATTTTCTAGTGGCTGTGACTGTTTCCCGACCTTAAAAGTTACTGACTTTGGGGCAATCCTGTATTGATGCTTCACCTGCCAGTGCAACAAGGGCATAAATTGTTAAATTTGATACAAGAAAGATACCGAGACTTCGGTTTAGGGAAATTGTATATTTGTTAATTTTGAAAAATAGCTATTTTTCTTTTCTTTCTTAAAACAAATACACAGATCCTAGGCATTTTTCCCTATTTATCACCAAAAAGTTGTACCATATAAACTTTATGGCATTTTTTCTAAAAGAAGCTGCTCGAGGAGCGAGACATGGTGGGAAATAAAACACACTGCTCATATTGGACTGACTTCATATCGTATTATATGACTACTCGATGAAAAACTTCCAGTAACTAGTTTCACTGTTCCCACAGTAGAGTACCGTTTCAATAAAATACATTGCACCGTTTCTTTTTTTTTTTTTTGGTTTTTATAGCCCACCAAATTTCATACAATATAAAATTTGCACAAAAGAATTAGAGTGAACATCCAATCTGATTGAAGAAGCATACGGCAAAGGTTGTTAGCTAATAAAACCTTAATTAGGCGTCCATTGTCTGTCAAAGTCTTCAAATTTGCAGCCACAGTCTTCTCAATATCTTGGGGCGCCGAATAATGTTCCTAACATATAAACCATATATGGATTCAAAGTTAGAAAAAGTCATTACCATAGTGGATTCAAACCACTCACAAAACAGTATGAGAATCATAGACAGGAGTGATAAGTGATGACCTTTCCTGGACTTGTATGAAGTGTAAAGAAAAACCAATAGGGTTCGACAAAACTCGACACTTTATAATTGATGCACCAATTTCTTTCACAATTTNAAAAAAACAAAAAAAAAAACAAAAAAACAAAAATCAACTCTTAAAGTCAATCCCTTTAAGTAGAGAAATTTAGTTACCTCTATGTACTGTACAATTGCATGCCGACTAGATCCACGAGGTTCCTTCAACTTTGTTATAGCCTCCAGAATAACATCCTCCAACCTACAATTATGGCCAGGGGACACAGAACTCTCTTTTAAATATATAAAGAGAACACTTTTGATCATTTCTGGACAATACCTAGGCGATTCCAATGTATATAACAAAGTTAACGCGTCCATTTTAAGAGTATCATATTGTGGGTTAAGTATCATGCTTAGGTTGACTGAAGACCACAAAGACAACACTATCGCTCGATCATATAGACAAACTAAACAGCCTTGACCCAGCCCCAGCCTCAGCCCCAACTAAGTTGTTATCTATTAATCTATAAAGAGGCAATGATATTTACTTGAAATAACAACTAAAAATCAGCAAAAACCATATTTGGTTTTTCGCCTAAAGTATTTACTATTGAGTAATATTTTTGCCAAAATTTGAAAAATCCTGCCTATGTACAGAATCAGTTTGGTCAAATATTGCGGCTATTACCTTTATTTTATTAGTTGCATGATTTAAATTTGAAATATAATATATTGACAAACTTGCAACTATAACCTTTATTAGTTGCATGGTTTAACTTTGGTATATAATATATTGAAAAAAAATAAAATGATTTTTATTTAAATTTAAAAATAAAAAATAATTATTTATAACTTACGGTCAATATTAATGAAATAGTCAATTATTTATAATTAAATAAATTACTCAAATTACTCAGGTCAATATTAACTTTGACGTAAACGAAATAGTCAATTATTTATAGTTTAATAAATTACTCAACTACTTATTTTTTTTTATTTGAATAGTTTAGACATTAATAAATTATTTTAAGTAATGAAACAATATAAATTTTATATTTATACTTATTATTCGCATAGGTTAGTTAAACATATGATAACATTCTACCAAAATAACTATTATATGGAATCACATATAGTCAAATCGATTTTCTGAATAAAAAAATTGAAATGATACTTATTTTGAAACGAATATAAGGTAATTTATTATCAGTTATTTACACCGCATGGGTTGTATACTAATTTTAAATAGACATTTTTATGTAATTTGGCTCAATTTAAACTTTATATAACATTTTCAATAAATTAATATAGGTAAATTGTATTACATATTGATTCCAAATTTTTAATTTATAATATTACTTAATAAGAATTTTTAATTTATAAATATTAATGAATATCTCTTACCCGTTACCCGTGCACGTGACTCATACTAGTTTGGGATATAGGATGATGAACAGTTCAAAACATTATCTGAACTAAGAAGGTATGAACAACTAAAGAGAACCCCATCGGTCTCTGATTAATGCATTTTTACCTATTTACTCGCTCATTGATTAATTAACAAAAAGACTTAAAGTTTAACAGCGTTTCAAGGGAAAAGAAACTGGGTGAGAACACACTGAAATCCATGTTAAAATAAATATAAATGAGCATATAAAGATATATTTCAACCTTGAGATGGGTTTCTTGGAATCTGCAATCTGAGATATTTCATCAGATGCCTGGGAAGTTCCTTCAAGAACTTCAGATTCCTTCTCAACAATCGCGCTATGAACTGCAGTGTTTTCATCTTGCTTGATGGTAAGCTGATTGCTTTTATTGCCAAACCTAGCCTTTTGCCGAGATCCCAAGACCATGCAATTCAAATTTCTATATTTGTCCTATCCAGTGGAAGAAAATGAAATCAGCTCAATCCAAAAAAAGAATGAAAAAAATGAAATTACATAACGTTGACAATATATGGATATGTCCTTAAGATACTGATTCTGCCAAAGCAAGGCAGATTAAACGAACAGTACTAATATTTAATACCTTAAGGTCCACATTAGAACGTGCCCGCAAAACCGTGCTGAATTCCGGATCTTTAAGTATGGTACTCCACTTTCCTATTCCATATCGTCGAATGCCAGCTTTAAGAGCAGCTTCTTCTTCTGCCGTCCACTTCTGTTTTGGTGCACCCATTGATGGATCAAGATCTTTGAAAATGACCTACTGAGAGATGTGCACTAATGTTACATCAGGAAACATGCAGAAAGCAATAAGAGATAACGATTAATATAATCTACGTAAATAAGAACCACAACTGTTTTGACTTCTAAAATTGCAAAGAGAAAACTGAAGAAAACAATTTTTTTATTGAACTATCTAACAAATGATATCAACTTCCACCTTGATGACTAAAATATAGAGACACGTCCATTTATAAGACTACAAATGCATTATATCTTTATTATAACTTCTAAGTCTACCTAAAATGCTGATTTAATTAGCCAAATCATCGATGATCCTGGATACCTAAAAAGTTTAAATACCTGAAATTATTTACATATATCAGCATAAACGACTTGCTAATCACTGCACAAATAAGGCATCAAACAACCAAAGGGTGATGATTTATTGTACCTTATGTTAATAAGTGTAGTAAGACACCTTTCACGTGTCAAATCTACATATCAAACTTGTATAGAAAAGAAAAAGGCAATTGTCCACAGCAAAAGCTGAAAATAATTTGAGTCAAGGGCTATGTTGAGTTACGATTTTGGAAATTCTCCAAAAGGACAACAGTAGGAATAGTGATCAATAAGGGCCATAATCCGAGTTTATACAGCACAACTTCAACGAGGAAAATGTCATTGATGAATTTACTAACATGAAATTCACTAATAGAATCCACAGAGAGTGATGTGTGCCAAACTATCTATGCATAAGACAACTTATATTCGAGCTATGCATTCACACACTAAAGACGAGGCAAAAAAGAA